GTAATTTTTTCTAAGCAGGATTATAGCTTCATAAGATATAGTTTGTTGAAAAACAAGAACGGCAGAAATTCTTGTACGTAAAACAATTTTGACCTCAAAGTTTGTAATTTTATTACTTTCACCATGACATTTCAAGTTGTGTTCTGCAGACTTATTATTATGAACACTAGTAGGGGGAGATTATCTGACCCGCTGCAAGAGATCAATGCCTATAAAGAAAAGGTAAACTGGTAGACAAGGCTATGAACCAATTTTTGTGAAGTTTTGGCGGGTTTCTACTTCGGTCACTAAATGCCATATCTTTAATTTACTCCTCCGAGTATGTAGTTGAGTCAAGGAAATTCCTTCGTCTTGATTGTGTTAATACAGGCTGGCAGAGAGCGTATACCTCCAACCTGGAAATGCACAGCGATGGATAGAACTAGATATTCAGCATGCGGTAAGGAACTGGCAAATCAGAAAAGAGCCTAATTATGGACTTATGCTGAAAGTCAAAAAGGAATCCAATGCTAATGCAGTGATGCAGTTTGCTTCAAGCGATCACCCACTCAAACATTTGCATCCCAAACTTGTGGTGTGTCTTACTATCCCTCCGTGGTAACTGACATCAAGACAGGCTACCTGAAGACCGCTCTAAGGCCATAGCTGGGGTTCAGTAGAAGAACTTGTGTTTTTGCACATTTCTGCTAATGTATTTAACGATTATTATCATTTCATTCAATCATGTGTTATAATGATGACCACGTTTTCACGTTTTGTCACCTCTCTGGTGTTTATAACCTTAATAAACTGGTACTTTGGAGTTGGTACTTTTCTCTTGTAATAAGTACATAGCTCATAATTACAAAGCTCGACAGAGCTCGATTGGGTGCCAATTTGTCCTTTGCCCGTTTACCCCCTAACGGAAAACACGTGTTGCAGTTTACTACCGATTGCGATGAGACCTTTCCCTCCCCTCCGCCCCCTATTAGGCCTCCCACACTCCCATGTGAGATTTTAATTTTTATAATGCTCAAAAACAATCATCTACAAACAGTTGTAAGTAGTACTTAAAAAATATATAATAGGCAGGGAGTGTCGTCTTGCTCCTCGCTGGAAGTTCTCATGATCTCGACAGAAGAAATCACAGAAAAAAGACTTGCAACGGACAACATCGCTCCCGTAATGTTAAATAGTCTTCC